TATCGATTCTATCTTATCCGAAAAAAGTTTTGACCAAAAGAAAAATCTAAAATTACATTTTTTTTAATAAATTAAAGAGTTAAATTTGTTTTTTTTTTTTTAAATTATACTATCAAATGTTACCTTACTTCTTCTTCTGTTCTATTTGATTTATTCGTTCTTCTCTAATTTCTTATTCGCCTCTTCTTTCGGTTCTGACTTTGTCTTCATATTTTTTTTCTTTCTTCTTCACTTTTTTTATCCTCTTATACTACTTTTTAATTTACTTCTTCGTTCTCTTCTTTTTCTTCCAGTTTTATCTGTCTTCTTCTTTCGATATGTTGTCTTCTTCTTCTATTTTTTATTTGTTTTCTTTTCTTCCATTTTGTTTTTTTACTTTTCTTTGTCTTTACTTCTTGATCTTCTATTTTTTATTTATTTCCTAATTTTTCTTTTCATCTTACTTTTATCATGGTCTTTTTCGATTTTTCTTTATCTTATTATTCTAGTTATTATAAATTCATATTTTCTTCTTCTTCGGATTTTTTCTTTTTTTTTTTATCTTTCTTCTTTTTTTTTTATTTTTTATTTTTTTGTTCAACAAGTTACTTCATTCATTTAGCCGATCAAAGTACAACGGGAGGAAATTAAACATCCTCCATAATTACTACAACATAATAAAGAATCAATAAAGTATAAAACAGATAGATCATCGCAAAAGATGGACATCGAATCTAAAGCATGTATTGAATGCGTCAAGAGGATCTTCGCGGCACAACCGGAGAATCTCAGGATAGTCACTTTACCATGTGACTTTGAAGTTCCCGGCATAAAACACGGGAGTTCGACCACTCTTCATGAGAGGGACGAAGATACTACCATGCTCAAGGAGATGGAAGTAGGTGGAATTGAACTATTGCACCGGGAGTAACTTACACGATTTGAGAATCCAGAAAACTTTAGCCTTCTCATACGTGGTGACGTTGGTCTCTCCAGACTCGATTTGGAGGACAAGAATTTTAACGAGCTCTGTAACAACTTTCCTAAATCGACATTAGATACTTTATCATAAACATCCAAAAATAGGAACGATGGAGGATATGAATATGGTTCCTGTAATGCCCCGGTTGCAAAAGTAAAATTAGGTCGAGGAATTCTTCAGTGGAGTCGTAGAGTTGTCGTGGGTCAAAAGCCGATCGGACAAGTATTTCGGTCGAAAACCGTAAGTAAGCATCTAGGTGACTAAGCAGTGTGCTAGCTTAGGGC